GTCCTCTGCCTGACTTACTTCGCTCAGCATAACACCCTCAAAGTCCATCCACTTTGCTACACATGGCCAGATTTCATTCTTTCACATTACCATGTAGTATTCCATTGTATAGATAAACCACTTCTTGATCCATTCGTCAGTTGATGGACTCTTAGGCTCTTTCCATGATTTGGCTATTGTTGAGAGTACTGCTATGAACATTGGGGTACTTGTCTCCTATGCATCAGCAATCCTATAATCCCTAGGGTAAATTCCTAGCAGTGCTATTGCTGGGTCATAGGGGAGTTCTATTGTTAATCTTTGAGGAACCTCCACAATGTTTTATGGAGGGGCTGTACCAGTTTACAATCTCACCAGCAGTTTACGAGGGTGCCCGTTTCTCCACATCCTCGCCAGCATCTAGAGTGTTCTGAAATGTTCATTTTAGCCACTCTGTCTGGTGTGAGGTGGTATCTGAGTGTGGTTTTGATTTATATTTCCCTGCTGAGGAGGGATGCTGAGCATTGTTTCATGTGTCTGTTGGCCATCTGGATGTCTGTTCATATCTTCTGCCCATTTCTTCACTGGGTTATTTTTTGTTATTGTTGTTGTTGTTGTTTTTGTTTTTGTTTTTCGGGTGTGGAGTTTGGTGAGTTCCTTATAGATTCTGGATATTAACCCTTTATCTGATATGTCATTTGCAACTATATTTTTCCTTTCTGTCGGTTGTCTATTAGTTTTATGGCTTGTTTCCTGCGCCTTGCAGAAGCTTTTAATCTCGATGAGGTCCCAATTGTTTATTTTTGCTCTTGATTCTTTTGCTTTTGGGCATGTGTCAAGTAAGAAATTGCTGCAGTGGAGGTCAAGGAGGTTGCTTCCTGCTTTCTCCTCTAGGATTTTGATGGTTTCCTGTCTCACGTTCAGGTCCTTTATCCATTTTGAGTTTATTTTTGTGTATGATGTAAGAAAATAGTCTAGTTTCATTCTTCTACATGTTGCTGCCCAGTTCTCCCAGCACCATCTGTTAAAGAGTCTGTCTTTTTTCCATTGGATACTCTTTCCTGCTTTGTAAAAGTTTAGTTGGCTGTATATTTTCGGGTCCAATTCTGAGTTCTCAATTATATTCCATTGCTGTGTGTGTCTGTTTTTGTGCCAATACCATACTGTCTTGATGATGACAGCTTTGTAGTAGAGGCTTAAGTCTGGGATGGTGATACCTCCTGTTTTGGTTTTCTTCTTCAATACTACTTTGGCTATTCGGGGTCTTTTGTGGCTCCATACAAATTTTAGGATAGTTTGTTCTAGTTTTGAGAAGTATAAGTATGCCAGGGAAATCTTGATTAGGATTGCATTGAATGTGTAGATTGCTTTGGGTAGTAATGCCATTTTAACTATACTTATTCTTCCAATCCATGAGCATGGAATGTTTTTCCATTTCTTTGTGTCTTCTTCAATTTCCTTCATAAGTTTTCTACAGATCTCTTATAACCTTGGTTAGTTTTATTCCTAGGTATTTTGTAGGGTTTTTTTGTTTGTTTGTTTGTTTTTGTTTTTGGTGCAATTGTGAATGGGATCTGTTTCTTGATTTCTCTTTCTGTTGCTTCATTGTTGGTGTATAAAAATGCAACCGATTTCTGTACGTTGATTTGTACCCTTCAACTTTGCTGAATTATTGGATAAGTTCTAGTAGGCTTCTGGTGAAATCTGCCGGGTTTTCTATGTAGAGTATCATGTCGTCTGCAAAAGGTGAAAATTTGACTTTTTCTTTTCCAATTCTGATGCCTTTGATTTCCTTTTTTTGTCTGATATCTGAGGTTAGGACTTCCAGCACTATGTTAAACAACAGTGGTGAGAGAGGACATCCCTGTCGTGTTCCTGATCTCAGGGGAAAAACTCTCGGTTTTTCCCCATTGAGGATGATGTTAGCTGAGGGCTTCTCATAGATGGCATTTATGATGTTTAAGTAAGTTCCTTCTATCCTGACTTTCCATAGAGGCTTTATTAACAAGGGATGATGTATTTTGCCAAATGTTTTTTCTGCATCTATCGACAGGATCCTATGGTTTTTATCTTTTCTTTTGTTGATGTGATGTATCACATTGATTGATTTCCAAATAATGAAGCAACCAAGTAACCCAGGAGTGAAACCCACTTGATCTTAGTGGATAATTTTTTTTATGTGCTGTTGGATTCGATTTGCAAGGATCTTGTTGAGAATTTTTGCATCCGTATTCATCAAGGATATTGGCTTGTAGTTCTCTTTTTTGGCTGGGTCTCTTTCTGGCTTGGGAATCAGAGTGATCCTTCCTTCAAAGAATATATATATTTCTCCATCCCCTTACTTTTAATCTGAAGCTATCTTCCAGTCTGAGATGCATTTCCTGTAGACAGCACATAGATGGATTTTGTTTTTTTTATCCATTCTGCTACCTATGTCTTTTGATTGGAGCATTCAGCCCATTTACATTCAGTGTTATTATTGAATTATGTGGGTTTAGAGTCTTTGTGTCCTTTGTGGGATTCATGCTTGTGGTGGTGTCTCTAGTATCTTCGTTTCTTGCAACCTTTCCTTCAGAGCGTCCCCCTCAGTATTTCTAGTAGGGCTGGCTTAGTGGTGACAAATTCTTTCAATTTTTGTTTTTATGGAAAGATTTTTATTTCTCCTTCTATTCTGAATGACATGCTTGCTGGATAGAGGATTCTTGACTACATATTTTTTCTGTTCATCACATTGAAGATCTCCTGTCATTCCTTTCTGGCTTGCTAAGTATCAGTAGATCGGTCTGTCACCATTCTGATAGGTGTCCCTTTGTATGTTAGGGCCCTTTTCTCCATAGCTGCTTTAAAAATTCTCTCTTTGTCCTTGTATTTTGCCATTTTTACTATGATATGCTGTGCAGAAGATCAATTCAAATTACGTCTGAGGGGAGTCCTCTGAGCCTCTTGTATTTCAACGTTTACTTCCTTCCACAGGTTGGGGTAGTTCTCAGCTAAAATTTGTTCCATGACTCCTTCAGCACCTTTCCCTCTCTCTTCCTCTTCTGGGATTCCTGTGATACTGATATTATTGCGTTTGATTTTATCGCTGAGCTCTCGAACTCTTCATTCATGTTCCTGGATCAGTTTGTCCCTTATTTTCTGTTTCTTCTTTTTCTATAATGGTGTCTTCTAAATCACTTATTTTCTTGTCTGCCTCTTTTTTTTATTTTTTTAAATGTTTTTTATTTTATTTCTAGGAGAGAGAGAGAGAGACAACATGAGCAGGGGAGGGTCAGAGAGAGAGGGAGTCACAGACTGAAACAGGCTCCAGGCTCTGAGCTGGCAGTCAGCACAGAGCCTGACGTGGGGCTCGAACCCACGAACCGTGAGATCATGACCTAAGCAAAAGTCGGACGCTTAACCGACTAAGCCACCAAGGCGCCCCTCCTGTCTGCCTCTTTAATCCGTGCATTGGACCCCTCCAATTTATTATGTTTCTCACTTATCGCAATTTTCAATTCATCATGCCTATTTTTATGCTCCGTGTTGTTTGTAGCCATAGTTTCTTAGGTGTCCTCTATACTTTTTTAGAGCCCAGGTATTAATTTTATGATTATTGTTGTAAAATGTTGTTCAATTATGCTGCTTATATCTGTTTTGAGCAGTTATTTAGCTGTCAATTCTTCTTGGAATTTCTTTGCAGGAGAGCTCTTTCGTTTCATAATTTTGGTTAGCTTTCTGGTTCTTGTTAGTTTTAAAGACTTGTTATGCTCTCTGCACCTGTGAGCGCTGCTGTATGCAAGAAGACTCTTGGCTGTCCAGGGCCTATCCTTTCAGAAAGTGTTTTTGAATGGTATCTCTTGGTCTCTCTTGTTGAGACCTTGGGTATTTTATTTTCCTACTCGTAGTGATATTTGGGACTCTCCACAATGTGTACTTTGGCTTGTTTCTTGATATAGCCCTGGAGTAGAAAACAGACAGACAAACACACAGGGAGCAGAGGCACACAAATACACAGATAAATCCAACAAACATGCAAACTGAAGGAGAAAACGAAAAAGTTAAGAGAAAAGACGGAGGAGGGAGAGCGAATAGTAGAAAATAAAAAAAAAAATACATAAAAAAGCCAAAAAGAAGAAAACAAAGGAAAACGGAAGAAAACCTTTGGACAAAGAATGGTTTAAAGCATATAACCAGATTTCCCAGCTACAATTAAATAGCCGGGTGTATGCAGTGCTGGTTGAAGAGCATAGAGAAAGAGAGAGAAGACAGGGAGGGGATTAGGCACAAGTGGAAATGAATGAACAGGCAGAAGGGATAAGAAGTTTTTCTCAAAGACCTAAAGGGTGAAATATGGTTGGAGAGATTCGAGAAGGACTCTAGTGTTATCCAGAGAAACTATATAGTCTAATTATTCCATAGAGAAAGAGATGATATGGTAGGTAGGTGTAGAATTTACAGCTACAGAATGGACTAAATGTGACTGTTTAAGCTTGCCAGTGACCTGAATTAATCAGGTAAGGGTTCCGGAAAAAAGAGAAGAAAAAAAAGCGGAGGGCAGCTCTCTAGTAGGGATGGGCGTGGTTTGACCCAGTGTGTCAGGCCGGAGTTCTGCCTTGGCGGTTGTGGGGAGGAGAGAGGCAGCGCTCCTGTCCCTTCTTGAACCCAGCGCTGCACCTCGCTTTTTTGGGTGTGTAAACTCCCCAAGCCATGGGCACAACCAAAATGGGTCGCGCTCTTTAACCCAAGGCAGGCGGAGTTTCCAAATCCCAGTCCGTCGCCCCACTGAAATTGCGTTAGATGCAACCTCGCAGGCGATACCCTCAGGGCAATTCCAAGCCTCTTGATATCCCTGGGAATTGAGCCAGAATCCCTGCGCTGCTCCCTTCTACTCCAGGTCAGGTTGGTGAGCAAGGATGGGGGTTTGCCTGGGGGGTGCCTCGAGTCCGCTGGAGAGGGGGAAACGGGGTCCCTCTGTGTCTCGTCACCCAAAACACGAACTCGTGGGCAAATCTCCCAGGTTTAAGCCCTTCGTGTCCCCTCTAGGGACCAGCCGAGCCAGGAGCACGGAGGCGCAGTCGTGCGCAGCCCCTCCAGGACGAGTTGGCGCACAGGGATTTGGTGTGCAGGGATTTGGCGCACATCTGGGCCCCGAGCGGAGGTTTTTCTGTTCCCCATTGACAGAGACCATGTCTTGAGTAGTTTCGGCCGCTCTCTTTCACCTCTCACTCCCAGCAGAGGGAGATCGCCCCCTTCCCTCTGAGTCTCTGATCCTGGCCTGATTTTATCTTCCCCAGTTCTCACTCATGTTAGAAGGCTTTCTCAGTGGATTCTGCATCCTTTTTCTCCCAATCTCTTGGATTCTGTAAGGTTTCCTATGGCTTCAGATCTTTTCCGTGTGAGATATGTGGGCAAGTGCAATGTACGGAGCTCCCTACTTCTCCGCCATCTTGCCCCCTCCCGATACAGATATATTTTTTAAATAGTTTACTGTAAGGTTGGTTTCCATATAACACCCAGTTCTCATGTGGGGATGAGCACTGTGTGTCATACGGATATTCTTATGTTTGATTGTATCACTCAGCTCTCGAACTCTCCTTTCATGTTTCCAGATTAGTTTATCGCTCTTTTTCTTGGCTTCCTCTTTTTCTATAATTGTGTCTTCTAATTCACCGGTTCTCATCTCTGCCTCTTCTTCCATTCATTGGATGCCTCCACTTATTATGCACTTCATTTTTAACATTTTTAAATTCATCACAACTATTTTTAAACTCCATAGTCTTTATAGTAATAGCTTCTCTGATGTCCTCCATTCCTTTTTCAAGAACATCGATTAATTTTATGACTATTCTATTTTTGTTTAGTTATATTGCTTATATCTGCTTAGAGCAGTCATATCTTCCTGGAATTAAAAAAATTTTTTGGAATGTTTTTTATTTATTTCTGGGAGAGAGAGAGAGACAGCATGAGCAGGGGAGAGTCAGAGAGAGAGGGAGACACAGAATCTGAAACAATCTCCCAGCTCTGAGCTAGCTGTCAGCACAGAGCTTGATGTGGGCTCGAACCCATGAACTGTGAGATCATGACCTGAGCCCAAGTCTGACGCCACACCGACTGAGCCATCCAGGCCTCCCTTTCCTGGAATTTCTTTAGAGGAGAGTTCCGTTTCATTATTTTGGCTAGCTTTCTGTCACTTGTCAGTTTTAAAAGCTTGTTATGTGCTCTGCACCTGCAAGTACTGGTGTATTAATGAAGGCTCATTGACTCCAGGGCTTGTCTATTCAGGAAGTGTTCTTTTAATGGTGCCTCTTTGTCTCTCTTATTGAAACTTTGGTTATTTTATTTCTTTACTCATAATGGTACTTGGGACTCTCCACCATGTGTACTTTGGCTTGTTTCTTGAGGTAGCCCTATAAGGTTGCTTGCTCAGTGGACTATGTCTCCTTTTCTGCCCAAACTCTTGCGCTTCAGTGTCCTATGGCTTCAGGCCTTCTCAGTTTGAGAGACGGGGGCAAGTGAAATGTACAGAGCTCCCTATTTCTCCGCCATCTTTTGAAAATGTGCTGCCTTCCTCATGCCTTAGGTTTAAAATCTATTAAGTCTGATTTGAGTATGGTACTACATCTTTCTTTTGACTCCCATTAGCATGATAAATTTTTGTTCCTTTCCTTCTCAAAGAGTCCCTTTAATATTTCATAAAGGGCTGGTTTAGAGGCCATTTAATCTTTTAGTTTTTGTTTGGGAAATTATCTATGTCTCCTTCTATATGAGTAATAGCCTTGCTGGATAAAGCATTCTCGGCTTCATATTTTTCAATTGAGCATATTGAGGACATCGTGTCACTCTCTTCTTGCCTGCAGTTTCTATGGAGACATCTGCCACATTTTTTTCTTCCCTAGTTAGTCAGCGACTTCTTTTGTTTTGCTGCTTTTAGGATTTTTTTCTTTACGTGTATATTTCGCTAAATTTCCTATGAAGATATCTCCATATTGGCCTGCTTTTGTTGATTTTGATGCAAGAACTCCTGGATGTGGACTCCTGGATGTGGACGTCCATTTCCTTCTCCAGTTTGGGAAATTTTTCTACTATAATTCACTCAGATAAACCTTAGCTCCTTCTCTATCCAAAGTTCTTTGGGACTCATTTCCAAATAATGTTACTACACTTTAAGTAGTTGTTGCCTTCCCTAAGTCTACATTTGTGATCCAATATTTTAATTTTCCTCTTCTTTCCTGCTTCATTTATCCCCCAAATTTAATCTTCTATATCACTTATTTGTTCCTCTGACTCTTCCATCCCCGATGTTCTTATTTACAGTCATTTTTGATTCTTGGTTCAGGTTTTTTTCAATATCATCCTAAGTTTTAAATATTTTCTATCTGCAGTAAGGGTATCCCTCATAGCTTCTATGCTCTTTTCAAGAAGATCTATTGTGTTTCAGGCATACTACTTATATGTCTTGTGTTTAAATCCCTGACAAAGAGCTTTAATGTTGTTTTTGTTTTTTTTTTCCTTTGAGATGAATTCCTCCATCCTGGCATATGTTGATGTTTTTGCCTTCTTCTGTGTTTTAGAAAATCCTGTTATGTTTTCCACTTCTAGAATGGTTGCTTATTAAGAAGAGGTCATATACTTTCCAGGTGCTGACTCTCCAGAAAACATATCTTGTGTGTGCTGTGTGCACTGTACTATTGTGTGTTGGCTGCCCTTTCCCTCAGGCTATTCCTCTACAGAGTTTTGTCTTGTCTGCAGTGGCGAGTGTTTGGACCTTGTCCCCTGTGTGGTGGGTTTTAACTTGGTGTGTTTTAGCCACCGAAGAGACTAGATCCTTGGGTACCTGGGTGTCTCACTCAGTTAAGTGTCCATTTTCACTCGGGTCATGATCTTGTGGTTTGTGAGTTAGAACCCCACATCAGGCTATGTGCTCCAAATCAGAGCATGGATCCTGATTTGCATTCTGTGTCTCCTTAAATCTCTTCAACTCCCCTGCTCACACTCTGTCTCCCTCTCTCTCTTTCTCAAAAATAAAATAAATGTAAAAAGGAGGCTAGACCCTATTTCCCCTAGTGCTGAGTCTATGATGTATTCTATGGTTAGTAGACTGGGTGAATGTGGGAGTTTGTGCTGGTCTTCTGGGAAGATGATTTCAGTCACACCTAACCGGATAATGAAGCACCTGAGGAGAGTAAGGTTCAGGGGTTTGATGTTGGAAGCTCAAGATTCCACTGGTGGGCTCTGTGCTACTCAGTGACGTCTGTCCATGCTGTTGGTCGGGGGAAGTAATAGCTGCAGCCCATTCTTTCATCCTTGGAGAGGGATTTCCCATTGGCACCGTTCAGGAAGTTTTCAGTGAAGAGAGAACAATCTTTCATGAGTCCCAGGCCTCTGTCAGCGCCCTACCCTCACCTTGTATGTGTCTTAAGCATCTGTCCATCTGGTGGCATGGCGTTCCTGCATTTTCTCTCAGGAGACTTGGCTGGGTGTGAAAACAACCACTGTATGGAAGCACTGTGGCATGTGCCCTCTTATCCACCGGGGGAAGGTATTGTGGCACTGCGGTCGATGTGGGATTGTCCCCGAAGGGCAGCTGGATGAACACCAGGGGGCTTGGCGTTCATAGTGAAGAACAGCCAAAAAGCTGTCAGTCAGGTATCTGACTTCAGCAGAGGCTCCCGTGCAAAGAACCAGGCGGCGCAAGGCACGCGCAGGCTCTCCTCTCCCGTGAGAGGCAGTGTGACTCCTCCCAAACGCACTGGAGGAAGGGGGCTGCCTCTCTCCCTGCGACCCAGAGAATCTCAGACCACTGTGCACCTAAAGGCCTCTGCCCACTTCTTCACAGGAGCACCACGACGCCCACCAGGCTACACCCAGTGATGCCATGGACTTCTACATCTTCAGTCTTTGAGACCATATTTATGGCAGGTTGAGTTGTCCTTATTAACTTTATGTGTCATTTTGACTGAGTCATGGCTTCCCAGGTTAACCATTGTTTCTGTGGATGTCTGTGAGTGTGTTTCCAGAAGAGAATGACATTTCCATCCATGGTTTCTGTTTAAATGGGCATCATTCATTCCATTGAGGCTATGAATAGAATTAAATGTAGAGGGATGAGACTTAACCTCATTTTTACTTCTCGTGTGCATGCCTGGGCTGGAACATTAGTCTCCTCCTGTCTTTGGACTGAGAGGTACACCATCAGGTCTCCATGTTGTCACACGAGACACTAGTTCAGAATCAGACAATAATTGCACCATTGATTTTCCTGTTATTCCAGCTTATGATAGCAGACCCTGGGACTTCTTAGACTATAGAGTCATGTAATCCAATGTGCTATGTATTCCGTGCCTCAGGAGAACTTTGACTAATATATGGAGAAGCTATTGAGTTTAAACAAAGCTGTAACTCATTTAAAGTCCTGAGTATCAAAGTGTCATGAAGGAAGTGTCATGTTCTTGGGACAAAGGCTGGGTGAGGATAATGAGGAGCTATGGGATCCTGTGGTTTTACCTGCAAAGTCAGTGAATCCGGGACTTTTGTAAAAGTTCAGCTGATGTGCATCAGGGTATATGCAATTCATTTGTATTTAGGGACCGGAGTAAGCAAGTGCAAACGACTCTGTTTTTGTGCATGTTAATGTAGTTTTCCTAGGACTAAAGTTTCTAATACAGAGAGTGAATAGGTAAGCACAGAATCATGTGTCCAGAGACACTCCCTGGGGGAAACTGCTGAATGGAGAGGAAACCCCAAACCCTGACAGGAAACCTGCCTATAACCTCCATCTGCACCTGCTCCTGGGAAAATAAACCATAACTGTGCATAGTGTGCACCTCCTGGTGGTGCTGATCCCCTTTTCCAGGTAGGTTTCTGTCTGGGCTCATACTGATGGCCCCTCACTGTGTCCTTCACACAGTAATACACGGCCGTGTCCTCGGCTTTCATGTTGTTCATCTGCAGAGCCACTGTGTTCTTGGTGTTGTCTCTGGAGATGGTGAATCGGCCCTTCACAGAGTCTGCATAGTATGTACTTCTTCCATCATACCTAATGCTTGAGACCCACTGCAGCCCCTTCCCTGGAGCCTGGCGGATCCAGTGCATGATATAGTCACTGAAGGTGAATCCGGAGGCAGCACAGGAGAGTCTCAGGGACTCCCCAGGCTTCCCCAGGCCTCCCCCAGACTCCACCAGCTGTACCTCACACTGGACACCTGCAGACACAAGACATGTTGGTCAGGAAACTGTCACACATCCTCAATTTCTCTCATACATTTCCATGTATATACTCAGTATCTCTTGTCACTACGAATTACCTTTTAAAACAGCAACAAGGAAAACCCAGCGAAGCACAAACTCCATGGTGAGATATCTGTGTTCTGTCCTGTCACGGAATGTGATCACCTGGGAATCCTGAGGCTGGGCTCCTCTCCTAGCTGCAGGGTCAGGACTCGGTTGTTTTAATCAGCAAATGCAGGGCCCTATTTGCATGTATTCTAAGTATATATAAAGTTCCAGACTTAGATTTGATTCTTTAAATTTTATTTATTTATTTATTTATGTTTTTTAATCTTTATATATATATATATATATTAGAAATAGTTTATTGTCAAATTAGTTTCCACATAACACTCAGTGCTCATCCCCACAAGTGTCCTCCTCCATGCCCATCCCCCCTCCCCCCCACATCCATCAGTCCTCAGTTTTTGGCAGCATTCAAGAGTCTCTCATGGTTTGCCTCTCTCCCTTTCCCCCACCATTTCCGCCCTTCTCCCCCTTGTTCCTCTGTCATGTTCCTCCTAATCCTCCTATACGTGCAAACATATGATATTTGTCCTTCTCTGCCTGACTTATTTCGCTCAGCATAACACCGTCAAGGTCCATCCATGTTGCTACACAGGCCAGATTTCATTGTTTCTCATTGCCATGTAGTATTCCATGGTATAGATAAACCACATCTTCTTGATCCATTCATCTGTTGATGGACACTTAGGCTCTTTCCATGTTTTAGCTATTGTGGAGAGTGCTGCTATGAACATTGGGGTACATGTGCTCCTATGCCTCAGCATTTCTGTATCCCTTGGGTAAATTCCTAGCAGTGCTATTGCTGGGTCCTAGGGGAGTTCTATTGTTAGTTTCCTGAGGAACCTCCACACTGTTTTCCAGAGGGGCTGTACCAGTTTACATTCCCACCAACAGTGTAGGAGGGTGCCCGTTTCTCTACATCCTCACCAGCATCTAGAGTTCTCTGATTTGCTCATTTTAGCCACTCTGACTGGCGTGAGGTGGTATCTCAGTGTGGTTTTGATTTGTATTTCCCTGATGAGGAGGGATGTTGAGCATTGTTTCATGTGTCTGTTGGCCATCTGGATGTCCTCTTGGAGAAGTGTCTATTCATGTCTTCTGCCCATTTCCTAACTGGATTGTTCATATTTAATGATTTGATATATTAGAGGATTTTAGGGTGAGTACATGTGAGTGTCATGTGGGATGGAGGTGAACTTTCTCTGACGTCAGTGTGGACTGTTTTCATCTATGTTATTCTTGAACCTGTGTATGATATCTTATATGGCCAAAGGGACTTGTCACATTAGATTAATTTTGAGACTTTGTTATTACTGCCATGTTGGTGAGTTCAGGGATGGAGTTCACAACACAGATGGACAGTCACCAAATTTCCATCTTGGGGCTGAAGATGGGTTGAGTCTTAAGGACACCACATCCGTGGGAAGGAATACACTGAGAATTGGGGGATGAAACTCTTCATCACCATGCACAGACATTTTCTTGCATGAAGCCCATGTCTCCCTCTGGATCTGAATGTCTATCTGAACCCAGATGAATATGCATGGATGTCCCAAAAATGCCATAAGGTGGAGAGAAATAATAAGGAAATAAACATAAAGAAAGACGGGTAACAGTAAGCAAAGACATAAAGGAGTCATTGCCATGGAGAGAGTACTTCTGGGGCTCATGTGCATCATGTTCTCTGCAGGGTTGATTGAATGATATTGGACACCAGCCAGTGGAGATTGGAGACAGCCCTACAAATTGGGCTCTAGGTTGGAAGACAGAACCCATGGCCACCGTTAAAGCGGACTGTACTGAGGCCCAAGGGATGTGCCCCAGGAGATCACTCACCTGAAGTATAAGGAGAAGTCCCTGCCATTTCTGTGGCTCCCTTATGCCTCTGAGGTCTCTCCCTCCAAACGTTATAAATTCATAGGTTCTATTATATGGTAAATGTATCCTCTCTCAGTAAGGTGAGGGTCAACTGCTTGTTGGGGGAGTCATCCTTGTGACCTTGTCTCTGGTACAAACTTCTGCTCTGTCTTCTGAAAGTGAAATCAACGATCCCCTTTCATTGCTGCTAAAATCTCTTATTGTGCCTATATGTTCCCAGTTATTTTTGATATATTCAATAACTAATGAAATTGCCATCAGTCTGAGAATTCTCTTCAGAAGCAGGTACTTGGATACATGGGTGGTGTCAGGTAGTGCAGACCAGTGGAACAGCACATGGTAAACATGCATCCTCAAGCCTGGGCTTGTTCCCTAGTGAGGAATGGAAAGTACAAGGAATGCCAGCTGACATTTGCCTGTGCTTCCTGAGTACTCAGCAGGACCCTGTGTGAATGAGTCTGGTCCATGAGCAAAGGAAGTCTGCACACAGGCAGGACATGAGGGCCAGGTGTCTGGTTAGGCTGTCCATGAAGTGTGGGCACAGAGAGACTGGGAAGGGCAGCTGTGGTTTGAATTCCAACCCACGTGGCACCACCGTGGGGAGTCACGAGTTAGTTAACTCATGTCCACTACCAGTTAGGGATAAAATATACTGATAAATGGAAGAAGTTAGACTCACTACATTAGATCCCAATGATTATGACTTTGCACAGCAAAATTTCTGCCTTTCTTTTTTTCATTTTTTAACGTTTGAAGATTTTATTTAGATTGTTGTTAGCTAACATATAATGTAATATTAATGTCAGTAGTAGAATTTAATGATTAATCTATTACATCACAACCAGTTCACATCACAATAAGTGACCTACTCAGTTCCCGTCACCCATTGCCGCACACCCCACACACCTCCATCTGGCAACACTCAGTTTGTTCTTTATATCCTCGAGTCTTTTTGATTTTCTTCCATTGTTTTTCCTTTTCCACTATGTTCATCTGTATTGTTTCTTATATTCCGCATAAGTGAAATCATATGGGTATTTGTCCTGCTTACCATAATACTCTCTAGCTCCTCCCACATCATTGAAAATGGAAGGACATCATTCTTTTTATGACTGAGTAATATTCCATTGTATGTATATACCACAACTTCTTTATACATTCATTAGTTTTGGTCATTTATTTTTCTTCCTTATTGTGGGTATCATTGTTAATTATGCTATAAACTTTGGGAGCTTGTATCCCTTCAAATCATAATTTTTGTATCCTTTGGGAAGATACCTGATAGAGAATGGCACCATCTCTGGATTCTCCATCTTAACTAGTAATTTCTGGTGGAATTTGATCCACTGATCCAAGGAGAGTGGGTGCAGTGGATGGTTTACAAATTATCATATATTCTACAGCACATACTACAGCCCAGACCATGAGAGCCACATGTCCATCTGTTAGGCAGTTAGTTAAGCAGAAAGGAAGAAGGATAAAGCAGGTGCTGGTAATACCCTTGGAGTCTCCCCCAGGTAACACTACACAGTCAGGAAACCTCTAAGGGCTAACAGGACAGGAGAGTCGTAAACACAGAGCTAACTCAGGCAAAAAAGAACTTCTAAGAGCTGAGCATGGCCCCAAAAGTTGCAACTTGCCTTTAGGTTCCCTAAAAGTAATCAAGGTCTCCTTGACCCTGCTCAGGTCTCCAGGGGCAGTCAGGACATCAGCTAAGGACACCATGGGACATTCAGAACACCATGGGACACTGAGGACAACATGATGGCTCACAGATCCAGGAAGCACCAGGAATCTCAGAGCTCATGTCCAGAACTGGTAATGTTTCACCATCAGTTTCCTGTGGAGCATCTTGATCATCATGTCCTGCAAACTTCATCCTGACCAGCAAACTGTAGAAACTATTTTCTAAAACCTTCACAAACATAGATGTCTTTTCGTGTTTAGAGTGAACTGTCATAAAAGTAGTTCCTACCTTGACAGAGACCATGTTCTGAGATAAATCAGGTCATATAATCAGACCAGTGTCTTTCTGCATTTACCAGTACAATGGTCACCATTTTTTTTCTTTTATAGTTTATTGTCAACTTGGTTTACATATAACACCCAGTGCTCATCCCAACAAGTGCCCTCCTCCATACCCATTACCCCCCTTCCCCTCCCCTCCACACCCATCAGTCCTCAGTTTGTTCTCAGCATTTAAGAGTCTCTTATGGTTTCCCTCCCTCTCTTTCTCCAAATATTTTTCCCCTTCTCCTCCCCCGTGGTCCTCTGTTAAGTTTCTCCTGTTCCACTTATAAGTGAAAACACATGGTATCTGTCCTTCTCTGCCTGACTTATTTAGCTCAGCATAACACCCTTGAGTTCCATCTACGTTGCTGCAAATGCACTGACCACCATTTAAAAATGTATAAAGTAATTTTGAAGCAGAGGAGACTGACTCATATCAAGTGTTCTAAATTTCATTTATTATTTGAGCAGTTCCTGTTTCTTTTAACTTCTTTACGGTTTTCCTTTGATGTCTATGAAGAGACCACGAGTAATGACCCTTGTGGTTGTCGAAACCCCAGAGCGTCTCCATCAGTTCCATGAATCTCTTTCAAGGATTCTCAGTATCTCCATGCTCCTGTGTGCAAAAAGAGTTATTTCTACATTTCACTCTTTTTGTTCTTTCTCCAGGTCAGGAAACCAGAGACACCCATTGGGAGATGGGGGGGGGGACACCAGTATCACTGTTCACACTGACTCCAGTCTTCCAAGATCAACATACAGGGACAATTTCTCCTGGAATAGTTTATGAATCCTCCACTGGATCCACCCGTTTCCTGTACCTGCATCTCCCCACATGAGACACAGATCTTCCTCGCATTCAAGCTATACGGGAACAGATTTGGAACTCTGTTTAGTAGCTTATTTTCACCACGAGGTTTTCCTTAGCAGCTACACTATGCTGTACAACCATCAAGAGTATTCCAGAATTTCCTGTATTTCCTACATCTGTATTCATCAAGGATATTGGCCTGTACTTCTCTTTTTTGGCTGGATCTCTGTCTGGCTTGGGAATCAAAGTGATGCTGGTTTCATAGAATGAGTCTGGAAATTTTCCTTTGATTTCAATTTTTTGGAATAGCTTGAGAAGAATGGGTATTAATTCTGTTTTAAATGTCTGGTAGAATTCCCTAGGGAAGCCATCTGGCCCAGGGAACTTATTTGTTGGGAGATTTTTGATAACTGATTCAATTTCTTAACTAGTTATGGGTATGTTCAGATTTTCTATCACTTCCTGTCTGAATTTTGGTAGTGAGTGTGTGTTTAGGTATTTGTCCATTTCTTCTAAGATGTCCAATTTTTTGGCATATAATTTTTCATAGTATTCCCTGATAATTGCTTATATTTCTGAGGAGTTGGTTGTAATAAGTCCTTTTTCATTCATTGTTTTATCTATTTGAGTGCTCTCTCTTTTCTTTTTGAGAAGCCTGGCTAGAGGTTTGTCAATTTTGTTTATTGTTTTAAAAAACCAACTCTTGGTTTCATTGACCTGTTTAACTGTTTCTTTGGTTTCTATATTGTTTATTTCTTCCATGATTATTATTATTTCTCTTCACCTACTGCGTTCGGGTACTCTTGTTGCTCTCCCTCTAGTTGCTTTAGGTGCACTGTTAGATTTTGCACGTGTGCTTTTTCTAATTTCTTGAAATATGCCTGGAGTGCAATGTACTTTCCTCTTAGCACTGCTTTTTCCACATCCCATAGAGTTTGGATTGTTGTATTTTCATTTTCATTTGTTTCCTTATATTTTAAAATTTCTTCTCTAATTGACTGATTGGCGCATTACTTCTTTAGTAGGGTGTTCTTTAACCTCCATGTTTTTAGAGGTTTTCCAGACATTTTCGTGTGGTTGGTTTCAAGTTTCATAGCATTGTGATCTGAAAGTGTGCATGGTATGATCTCCATTCTTTTATATTTATTGAAGTCTGCTTTATGTCCCAGTTTGTGATCTATCTTGGAGAATGTGCCATGCACACTTGAGAAGAAAGTGAATTCCATGGCCTCAGGATATAGAGTTCTACATATATCTGTCAAATCCATCTGGCCCAATGTGTCATTCAACTCCATTGTATCTTTAGTGATTCTCTGTCTAGTTGATCTATCCAGCGCTGTAAGTGGAGTATTGAAATCCCCTGCTATTACCACATTCGTATCCATAAGAGTGTTTCTGTCTGTGATTAATTGTTTTATATATTTAGGTGCTCCCATCTTTGGTATGTAGATATTTATAATTGGTAGCTCTTCCTGATGGATAGACCCTCTAATTATTATATAATGCCCTTCTTCACCCCTTGTTACAGTCTTTACTTTAAAGTCCAGTTTGTCTGATATAAGTATAGCTACTCCAGCTTTCTTTTGACTTACAATAGCATGATAGATATTTCTCCATCTCCTTACTTTCACAATTGCACAAAAAACACTAAAATACCTAGGAATAAAACTAACCAAAGATATAGGACATCTGTGTGATGAAACATATAGAAAACTTATGAAGGCAATTGAAGAAGACACAAAGAAATGGAAAATCATTCAATGCTCATGGGTTGGAAGAATAAATATAGTTAAAATGTCATTGCTACCCAAAACAATATACACATTCAATGCAATCATTACAAAATTGCACCAGCATACTTCTCAAAACTAGAACAAACTATCCTAAAATTTGTATGGAACCACAAAAGACCCTGAATAGCCAAAGTGATATTGAAGAAGAAAACCAAAACAGGAAGAATCACCTTCCCAGACTTTAGCCTCTTCCACGAAGCTGTAATCATCAAGACAGTATGGTATTGGCACAAAAACAGACACATAGACCAATGGAATAGAATAGAGAACTCAGAATTGGACCCAAAAATGTGCAGCCCACTAATCCTTGATAAAGCAAGAAAGAGTATCCAATGGAAAAAAAAGACAGCCTCTTTAACAGATGGTGTTGGGAGACCTGGACAGCAACATGCAGAAGAATGAAACTAGATTATTTTCTCACACCATACACAAAACTAAACTCAAAATGGATAAAGGACCTAAATATGAAACAGGAAACCTTCAAATACCTAGAGGAGAAAGCAGGGAACAACCTCTTTGACCTCAACCTCAGCAATTTCTTACTTGACACATCCCCAAAGGCAAGGGAATCAAGAGCAAAAATGAACTACTGGGACCTCATCAAGATGAAAAGCTTCTGCACGGCAAAGGAAATAATCCAGAAAACTAGTAGGTAACTGACGGAATGGAAAAAGACCTCCTGTCGCTTTTCTCCTCTCTTCCTTTGGGACTCCTAGCAAAGGAATGCTTTTATGCTTTATGGAGTCAGTGAGGTCTCTAAGTCCACATTCTGAATTCCATAAGCTACTTTACCCTGTCTTTTCTGACTCGTTATTTTCCATAATTCTATCTTTTATATCACTGAGTCATTTCTCTGCTGTTTTCACCCATTATTAAGTACAGTAAGCATGACATCTCTTTGATAACATTTTAAAATTTCACTATGACCAGTTTTTGTCTTTTGTCTCCGTGGTTTGGTATCCTTGATGTCTTTGATGCTTTTCTCAAGCCCAGGCATTATCCTTATTATTGTTGTTTTAAGTTCTGTTTCTGGCATATTCGTTATATCATCCCTGGTTATGATCTTTTTTTGTTCTCTCTTTGGGGGTGAACTCTTCCATCTTGTCACATTTTTTAGGTCTCTTCTTCTATGTTTAAAAAGGCCTTTTATGTTTTCTGCTCCTGAGAATAATGGCTATATTAATAAGAGTTCATATACTGTCCAGAGACTTGCATTTCTGGAAGGGTTTATGGTGAGTGCTATGTGCACGGTGTTGTTGTGTTTTGACTGCTCTGAACCTCAGGCCAGTCCTCTGCAGAGTTTCTACCTACCTAAAGGGGGGAGTGTCAAGACCCTGTGCAGTGTGTGGTGAAGTTTATCTATGTGTGTTTTGGTCTGCTTGTTATAATCTATATCCTATTTCCCCTAGAGATGAGGCTTTGTTGCACTCTATGGTCAGTGAAAGTGGTACCTGAGGGAGTTGTACTGGTTCTCTGGGCTGCTGCTCTGGTTCCCAGAAATTCTTTCCTTTCCTTAGTAATGAAGCCCTTGAACGGCAAAGGAAACAACCCACAAAACTAATAGAAAACCAACGGAATGGGAAAAGATAGTTGCAAATGACATATCAGATAAAGGGTTAATATCCAGAATCTATAAGGAACCCACCAAACTCCACACCCAAAAAACAAACAACCCAGTAAAGAAATGGGCAGAAGATATGAACAGACACTTCACCAAAGAGGACATCCAGATGGCCAACAGACACATGAAACGATGCTCAGCATCCCTACTCATCAGGGAAATACAAATCAAAACGACGCTGAGATACCACCTCACACCAGTCAGAGTGGCTAAAATGAGCAAATCAGAGAACACGAGATGCTGGCGAGGATGTGGAGAAACGGGCACCCTCCTACACTGTTGGTGGGAATGTAAACTGGTACAGCCCCTCTGGAAAACAGTGTGGAGGTTCCTCAAAAAATTAACAATAGAACTCCCCTAGGACCCAGCAATAGCACTGCTAGGAATTTACCCAAGGGATATAGAAATGCTGAGGCATAGGAGCACATGTACCTCAATGTTCATAGCAGCACTCTCAACAATAGCCAAAACATGGAAAGAGCCTAAGTGTCCATCTACGGACGAATGGATCAAGAAGATGTGGTTTATCTATACCATGGAATACTACATGGCAATGAGAAAGAATGAAATCTGGCCTGTGTAGCAACATGGATGGACCTTGACGGTGTTATGCTGAGCGAAATAAGTCAGGCAGAGAAGGACAAATATCATATATTTGCACGTATAGGTGGATTAGGAGGAACTTAACTAAGGAACAAGGGGGGAAGAAGGGGGGAAATGGTGGGGGAAAGGGAGAGAGGCAAACCATGAGAGACTCTTGAATGCTGCCAAAAACTGAGGACTGATGGATGTGGGGGGGAGGGGGGATGGGCATGGAGGAGGGCACTAGTAGGGATGAGCACTGGGCGTTATGTGGAAACAAATTTGACAATAAACTATTTGTAAAAAAGAAAAAAAAAGAGAGACTCTATCTCTTGTTCATGTAAGTATAATTTTCATATTAAAAACAGATTGTAATTCAGATACAAAATATGTAAGCACAATATCATGTGTCCAGAGAGGCTCTCTGGTGGAAATTGGTATATGGAGAGGCAGTCCCAGACCCTTACAGGAAACCTGCCAGTAATGTCCATCCTCACCTGCTTCTGGAAATACAAACCAGAATGGTGCATAGTGTGCACCCCCTGGTGGTTCTGAGCCTCTTCTAAAGCGGGTTTGTGTATGGGCTCATGCTGACAGCCCCTCACTGTGTCCTTTGCACAGTAATACATGGCTGTGTCTGCAGGCCTCAGACTGCTCAGCTCCATGTAGGCTGTGTTTGTGGATGTGTCTGCTGTTAGAGTGACTCTGCCCTGAAACTTCTGTGCATATTTTGTAGCACCATCTTCAGGGTCAATTCTTCCCATCCACTCAAGCCCCTTCCCAGGAGCCTGTTGCACCCAGTGCATATAGTAATCAGTAAATGTGTATCCAGATGCTTTGCAGGAGATCTTCACTGATGTCCCAGGCTTCCTCACTTCAGCCCCAGACTGCACCAGCAGAACCTGGGAATGCACACCTGTATAGAGGGGACAGGAGTGGATGAAATCATTGTTGACTGGTCCTGATATTCTCCTCTTTCCAGGGACCAGGGTGACCCTTACCTGTAGCCACCGCCACCAGGTAGAGAATTCTCCAGCTCCAGTCCATGGTGAGGGGCTGTGCTCTCAGGGTCTCCTGTACAGAATGGCGTTATACGATGATGCTCTCAGTGCACAGACACAGCCATACTTAACCTAGTGCACTTATGATTATTTGCATAGTCATGAGTCAGAGTATTTCATACATAAGACCAGAACAATCTAGAGAAAGAACAGGTGTATTTCACAGGGACCATGCACAGTGGGACTCAGAGGCACTAGTCTAATCCTTGTTTAAGGACATGAGTTCCTTAAACTGTTGCAGAATGAGCTCCTGCCACTTAGGGATAAGACCCCACAGGAAATGTTCCTCATTATGAATTCATAATGAGTGAGGCAGAGACAACCTGAACCTGTTTTTGACTCTAATGTCTGTACATCTCATTTTTGGTTAAGTGTGTCTCCAAACTGCTGCATAAAATGGGGTAATACATGCATCCTGGTTTCCATCTCTTTAATAAAGATATCTGAAAGCCCTGGGATAACACTCTCTTCAAATGTCTTCTTATTGCCTTGAGTTCATTAAATAGTCTGATGGAACAGGATATTTATACACCCTTTAACATCCCTCATCCTACTCTTATTTTAGATTGTTTTCTTAAAAAGTAAATCCTGGATTCTAACAGGAAAGCCTTCCCCACCCTCTATGCACCTGTTCTGGGGCAGCAGCCTGGTTCTAGGTGGTACTGAGAGCCCCCTGAATCTCAGACCTGGCCCTGCAGGGAGGCTCCCGTCCAGACTCATAGGACATTTATTTCATTGTCTCTACTCCAGTATTATATGGTGGAGGGGAGCAGAATATGCCACTCTAAATATGCCACTGGAATAAAAGGTGCTTGAGAAATGGCCAGTGCAGAGATACTCTGATACTCCTTTGTCCCCTAAACAGAAATTAAATCTCCTACGTGAAAGGCACCTTCTCTGACTAGGCAGAGAGAGCTGTCCTTAGTACCAGAAAAAGGAATTTAGGCCCCAGAATTCTGTGCAGAGAAACCTTAGTTCTTCACTAATGTGGTAACACTAACCACACATCATTGGTTTGACTACCTTCATGAATATACTATTTATTTTTGTAACACTTGAGGAGGTCTTTGCTTTGATGACTTCTTTTTGTTCATATTTTTAGGGAACTCTTCTACATACACAATTAAAATAGTTTTTCTGCTGATAGTTTGTCTTATGACAATTTAATTATTAAATCAGATAAATAATCCAGAAAGGAAAATAGAAATTTTCCTGCCCTTACATTGGCTGTGCTATGCCTTCAGAGAGCACTTCCGGTGACACCATAGGCTCTGCTAGCATCTGTCGAAATAGTGACCTGTCTTTACTAAGCCTGCATACTCTGCAGGGAAACCCAAAGCACAGGTTTATGAACCCACCAGGAAGTCCGTTCCCTGGCTCTTCAAATGCATTGATGCAGTCCACACCCATGGTGAATCCAGAAACTCTGGGAACTTTTGGGTAGCCTGTTATCTCCTATAGGTTCCTGTGGTTGAAGGCCGTGCCTGAATATAACTGATTATAGACACATATAGCTCACATCCCGCTGCATATATACTCTCCAATACCACCTACACAGTGTAGCTGATATTTGCAGTATGCATTCCATATTTCCCCTTTTGGGTGGTGCTTGCTCCAAACTCCTTTAGTTTTTCCAGGGTACCTGTAATACACATTTGTTGGGTCAGATCCCCATGCTTGAGTGTCAGTGAGGAGTCTCTGTGATGGGGTGTCCCTTCTGGAGGTCAGTCCCTGTGACACTGTGCTGAAGAGCTACATGGACACGACCTGTCCCATTTGTTCACCAGGTGCTGCATGTACAAAGCCACAGAAGAGAAGATGGATCCACCTCCTGTTTGGTTGAAATAACTCCTCACTAGACTTGATGTTGTAAATGGAGAGGCCTCCTGAGTGCCCTCATGGTGAGCAGTGCTGTGGGGCCTCACTGGATTTGAGCAATTGCAGGAGTGTCCCCTCCCTCAACCAGTACACAAGATCTTGCACCTTTGTGCCTGGCAGCCCACCCACCAAGATGGATGGTGTGTGTCTTCCCACAGACCTGGGCTGGGCCCTGGATCCATTCCTACTTGTAGCTATGCAGTGAAGAAAAAGTTCTCAGACACAGATTGGGCAGATGTTCAAGGCTGCCTTTGTGAGAAAGCAGCAGTGGCAACAGACTGCACATACCCTAGCATTTATTTCGTTAGAAATATCAAAGAATATCAAAGCAGGAAAGAGAACACAAAGGATCTTTAGGCACTGGCCAGACGTATGTCTAGTGGCTATGTGAAAGCATGAAGGGAGTGTGTGTGGTTTCAAGGAATGTCAGAAAGTTACACCAGGTGCTGTTACTTAATTGTCCTTTGGGGGAACATGGGGTTCTGTATCTCACAACACTGTTGAGATCAGCAGCCTTGAGACAAGGACATTGCTGACATTTTAGCTATTGTTCCATTAACCCTTTAGGACCTACAATACACTCTCTAGAAATAACTGCACCTCTCCTCCCTTTTGTTTCTCAGTTGTAGAAACAAAGGTCATGTGTTGGAGGCTGGCTCTGGCAGGTCCAGGGGTCCCTGAAGGATGGACGGTGTCAGCGAGAGAGAGAGTGAGAGAGCCCCGAGATTCTTTCTGATCAACAGGCAGGCATCTCTGTCCTGTGGGTTTTAGTGTCTTTATTTAAAAGTTCAGCAACAACATGAAGTCAGAGAAAAAATTTCTTATAATGGGAGGTCTTTTGTGATATCAATTACAGAATTATTCCAACCAAGGAAATAACAGAATGTTCTTAGTGAAAAACAGGATAGCATATAAGTTAAATTGCATATAGATAAGCTAGGAGCCATTCTGTCTGGCTCTCAAGAGGATGAATATTTCTGAATTGGTTTGTTTGTGGAAACTATCATGGGGGCCCTAAATGTGTCAGTCTTTGCACCTGGGTTTATTTTTTAGCTACTCTTATCTATTCTTTCCCAGCTGCCAGTGTAAGGGAGGGTGTTTGTGGAATGTAGGCCTTGAGGAAGGGACTGCTATGCTTCACCAATTAGCAAAGATATATGTAGTAACTATGTTCTGCTCTTATCTGTACCTTAACCCCAAAATAGGCTCTTTGTCTCAGGGCCAGGCTCAATTGTAACTCTTGTGTTCTTAACCCCCTTTATTATCTAAGTCTTGGATCTACAAGGCCCATAGGAAGAGCCTTTTGACAATCATCCACAGTGCTTTCAAAATCTGTTTTGTAAAGGCAGGAATATGCTTTTCCTTATGAGGTATTTGTGTTCAGAATATGGGTCTGATATGAAATATTGTGAGGCCTGGTCAATACCAGCAGGCTTACATCCAACATGAGCCAGTAGTAGCAGAAGGAGATACCAGTTTTCGTTTCTCATGGAAGGAGCTGTGCAAACACTACCATATCCTTGCTGTGACTGCTATCCAGAGAGGCCGGTGTGGCTCCCGGCAGTCATGGTGTAAATAGTGAGTATCTGGGTGTTGGCAAACAACACCACAAATGCAGCAGAGAAATGCCAGAGACTCAATATTTGGGTTCATGTTTTACTAACCTCTTAGTCTTTTCTGTTTGCTGTCATTACGTTCACAGACTGGGTGTTTTTAAACTATAGACACTCAGGAAGATGGCAGAGAAATAGGAGGCTTTGTACTTCCTGCTCGCATCTCTCAAACAAAGAAGGGCCAAAGCCAAAGGCCTCTGAATCCCAAGAGCCTGGGAGGAAAGTAGACAGAGTCAACAGACACATGAAATGATGCTCAGCATCAGGGAATTCAAATCAAAACCGCACACCATCTAATGCCAGTCAGTGTGGCTAAAATGAACAAATCAGGAGACTCTAGATGCTGGCGAAGATGTGGAGAAACGGGAACCCTCCTGCACTGCTTTTTCCTGTCTCACGTTCGGATCCTTTATCCATTTTGAGTTTATTTTTGTGTATGTTGTGAGAAAATGAACAAGTTTAATTCTTCTATATGTTGCTGTCCAGTTCTCCCAACACCATCTGTTAAAAAGGCTGTCTTTTTTCCATTGGATATTCTTTCCTGCTTTGTGAAATATTAGTTGGCTGTATCCTTTTGGGTCCAATTCTGAGCTCTCAGTTGTATTCTATTGGTCTGTGTGTCTGTTTTTGTGCCAGTACTATACTGTCTTGATGATGACAGCTTTGTATTAGAGGCTAAAGTCTGGGATGGTGATACCTCCCGTTTTGGTTTTCTTCTTCAATACTACTTTGGCTATTCAGGGTCTTTTGTGGTTCCATACAAATTTTAGGATAGTTTGTTCTAGTTTTAAGAAGTATGCTGGTGCAATTTTGATTTGGACTGTATTGAATGTGGAGATTGCTTTGGGTAGTAATGAAATTTTAACTATATTTATTCTTCCAATCCATGAGCATGGAATGTTTTTCCATTTCTTAGTATCTTCTTCAATTTCCTTCATAAGTTTTCTATAGTTTTCATCACACTAATCTCTTATATCATTTGTTAGGTTTATTCCTAGGTATTTTATGGTTTTTTGTGCAACTGTGAATGGGATCAGTTTCTTCATTTCTCTTTCTGTTGCTTCATTGTTGGTGTATAAAAACGCAACCGATTTCTGTACGTTGATTTTGTACCTTGCAACTTGGCTGAATTCTTGGATCAGTTCTAGTAGGCTTCTGGTGGAGTCTGTCGGGTTTTCTATGTAGAGTATCATGTTGTCTGCGAAGAGTGAAAGTTTGACTTCCTGTTTGCCAATTCTGATGCCTTTGATTTCCTTTTGTTGTCTGATGGCTGATGCTAGGACTTCCAGCACTATGTTAAACAGCAGTGGTGAGAGTGGACATCCCTGTCGTGTTCCTGATCTCAGGGGGAAAGCTCTCAGTTTTTCCCCGTTGAGGATGATGTTAGCTGAAGGCTTCTCATAGATGGCTTTGATGATGTTTAAGTAGGTTCCTTCTATCCCAACTTTCTCGAGAGTCTTTATTAAGAAGGGATGCTGTATTTTGTCAAATGCTTTTTCTGCATCTATTGACAGGATCATATGGTTTTTATCTTTTCTTTTATTGATATGATGGATCACATTGATTGATTTGCGAATGTTGAACCAGCCCTGTAACCCAGGAATGAATCCCACTTGATCTTGGTGGATGATTCTTTTGATATGCTGCTGGATTCGATTTGCAAGGATCTTGTTGAGAATTTTTGCATCCGTATTCATCAAGGATATTGGCCTATAGTTCTCTTTTTTTGCTGGATCTCTGTCTGGCTTGGGAATCAGAGTGATGCTGGCTTCATAAAATGAGTCCGGGAGTTTTCCTTCGACTTCTATTTTTTGGAATAGCTTGAGAAGAATTGGGATTAATTCTGTTTTAAATGTCTGGTAGAATTCCCCAGGGAAACCATCAGGTCCAGGGCTCTTATTTGTTGGGAGATTTTTGATCACTGATTCGATTTCTTCACTCGTTATGGGTCTGTTCAGGTTTTCTATTTCTTCCCGTGTGAATTTTGGTAGTGAGTGTGTGTTTAGGAATTTGTCCATTTCTTCTAAGTTGTCCAATTTGTTGGCATATAATTTTTCATAGTATTCCCTGATAATTGCTTGTATTTCTGAGGGGTTGGTTGTAATAAGTCCATTTTCATTCATAATTTTGTCTATTTGGGTGCTCTCTCTTTTCTTTTTGATAAGCCTGGCTAGAGGTTTGTCAATTTTGTTTACTTTTTCAAAAAACCAACTCTTGGTTTCATTGATCTGTTCAATTGTTTCTTTGGTCTCTATGTTGTTTATTTCTGCTCTAATTTTTACTATTTCTCTTCTTCTACTGGGTTTAGGGCGTTCTTGTTGCTCTGCCTCTAGTTCCTTTAGGTGAGCTGTTAGATTTTGGACTTGTGCTTTTTCTAATCTCTTGAAATAGGCCTGGAGAGCAATGTACTTTCCTCTTAGGACTGCCTTTGCCGCATCCCATAGATTTTGAATTGTTGTGTTTTCATTTTCATTTGTTTCCATATATTTTTTAATTTCCTCTCTAATTGTCTGATTGGCCCATTCATCCTTTGTAGGGTGTTCTTTAACCTCCATGTTTTTGGAGGTTTTCCAGACTTCTTCCTGTGATTGATTTCAAGTTTCAAAGCATTATGATCTGACAGTTTGCATGTTATGATCCCCTGTTGACGCGAGGGGACCTGGCATGCACGTATTTGGCAAGTATGGTCTTTCTATGCCCCGAGCGGAGGTTTTTCCCCCTGAGCGGAGGTTTTTCTGTTTTGGACTCCCTCTTTTTCCCCTCTCACTCCCCGTAGAGGGTAGAGGGGGATCGCCTCCGATCCTGGAGTCTCCGATCCTGGCCCAATTTTTTCTTCCCCAGTTCGCACTCATGCTAGAAGGCTTTCTCAGTGGATTCTGCGTCCTTTTTCTCCCAATCTCTCAGGTTTTGTAAGGTTTCCAATGGCTTCAGATCTTTTCCGTGTGATGTATGGGCACGAGCGCAAGTACGGAGCTCCTTACTTCTCCATCATCTTGCCCCCTCTCCAGAGTAATGAGTTTAAGGATATGTTTTGTAAAAGCTCAATGGTGATATGTGATATGGGTAACAGTTTAATCAGAACCAAGAATTGTATACATTTTAGCAGTCTTACAAAACCAGATAATAACTCTAATCCTTGTCTATGATGGGATGTGATCAATGTAATTTTATGTAGAAATAAGGTCAGTCTCATGGATACAGTCTTATTTCCCATCTCTGGCCTTTGAATCTGTGGACCTGAGACAGTTCTAGTCAGGGTCAAGAGAGGCTCAGCTGGGACTTTCCTGCTTCTTCAGAAGTTACTTTCAGATGAAAATGTTCCTTCTTCCAGTCCCTTTTCGTGTCTGTATGTGGGCCTTGGGAATGCTGACACCAGGTCTGTACTTGTTGGGAGTCATCAGGGGTTTGGAAATGACATAGAATTGATTTTATATTTTTTTTCAGTTTTAAATTCTCAATGTTTTTTAATGGTTTATTGTCAAGTTGGTTTACATATAACACCCAGTGCTCATCCGAACAAGTGCCCTCCTCCATGCCCATCACCCCCCATTCGATACTGGAAGACCTCTGGTTTTCATATCTCTCATAAAATCTGCAGTCTCTCAGCTGCTTGGTGGCACCAAGTGATTTCACAGCACATTAGTTAACTTTTCTATTAGTGCACACTGCATTGTGTAGATGAATTAGGTAAGACCTTGAGTCAGTACTTGTGAGAACCCCTCACAAATAGAGTGAGACTATTTCCTTCTCATGTGTAACCAGCATCAGCAAAATTCTGGGAAACAAGGTTGGGACATAACTGGAAGACTATCCTCAGGAGCATTTTTATATGGACTATATCCAGCATCCACCCTCCATGGCATGTGAATATGCTTTATTTGTTGTATGTGTATTTGCTTCATGTTGTGAAGTAATTCCTTCACCAAAACCTCTGACCTTTCCAGTTGATGAAAATCTTCTTGAGTTGTGTTACCATCCTGAGTTGTACCAGCCATTCTATCCAGTGACTGAGGTGAGCACCTCACTGTAGTTTTCATAACACAACTCTGTATGATATTTCTCATACTCAAACAGCACACGGTTATCACATCCACAGTCGTCTGTAAAGGTGTAAAATACAGCACTCTTAGAGTAAAGTTACACAAAATCTCAGAAAGCATGGACTCTTTTTCCAAAGACATTCCCACTGGCTCTTACTGCCTTATGGTCCATGGACTCAAGAGCACATCACTTATCTCCCTATTACTTGGTACCTGAAGGGCTAGGAATGTAGAAATATTTCCTCCAATTCCAGCGTCTTCCCTATTGCATTCAGACGTGGGGACATTTTCAAAAGGATTCATGAATCATATCCACTCCTCTTACCTACAGGTTAAGAACATCTTTTTCTTTAACTTTAACACAGGTTCTTTTGATTTTTTCTACTAGCAAATTCAATATTTTGGAGAAAATGTCATTAAAAAAAAACTTCCCTTCAACCTCATTGAAGTAACTTATCAAGTAATTATCACCACAAATGCAGCAGGGAAAAGCCAGAGAGTCAATACTTGGGATCATGTGTCACTAAAGTCTTAGTCTATTCTGATTGCTGTAACTATGCTCACAGACTGGGTGGTTTTAAGCCACAGACACTTGCTTTGTCACAGTTCTGGAATCTGAGAAGTCCGAGGTCAAGGTGCAAGCAGATTTGATGTCTGGAGAGCACCCATGTCCTAGATCGTCCCTCCCCTGGCACCCCATATGGGACCAGGGGCAGGGAGCTTTCCTATTACTGGTGTATAAGGGCACTAATCTCATCATAAGATTGCCCCCTCCTGACCTAAGTGCTTCCCAAAGGCCCCCCCTCCTTTCCTCCTATCACATTGGTGTTAGGTTTCTACATGGGGATATTAGAGTACACACATTGAACTGATGTAAGCTCATGAGAGATCAATTAATTATTCCAGAGTGTTGGAAGGCTGCTTTAATCAAGCACCTCAAACTGAGGATTCTCATGGGTCCAGTAGAAGCTTCTGGTCTCTGCCTGCACACAACAAACACAAGAGCTTCAGAGCATGCTGGTGACCTTGGGGATTTGGCAGCTTTCAGCCTAGACACCGAGTAAGACCTCTGTCTATTTGTAATAGCTTTGTTATTGTGCACTTACATATAAACATTCTCATTTTATAGGGATTCAGATAAATTTCTACACATAATGGTCACTAATGTTCCTTTTCATTCATTTTATAATTGCACGTGGAATTAGTCATCAGACTGGCTTCCAATTTTCTTTACTGACACCATAATTCTCATTCTTCCCTCTGCTCCCACCCCACTCATAGGAAATGTCTTAAAGAATCAGTTCTCTGCCTTTAATGGTACTACTTTTCCACCACTAACTAGCCCACAATAAAATCCCTGGTTTGCTGTACTTTATTGAATTTATTAAAATATTTCTGACATGTATGTGACATTCCCTGACATCTAGAGATACCTCAATGAGGAGATGATACACATTACATTCTCTTGCTATGTATGTGTCTTGTCATCTGATTCAACAATTATACCAAGTTGGATGAGGGTCTCTCTGACTCTGGTGGTGTCAACTGAAATAGATGGTGCGATATGGTGTCCACACAATGACCAGCACTGGGGTCGTTCTTCTCTTGCTTTGGCTTATAATGTCCATGTTGCCTGATGTCCAGCATGCAGTTTATGGTGCTCCTCATAGCTCGTACACTGGGCAGTGTAGTGCTGGTTGTTGAGTACAACTGAAGCTTTTTATAGATTTAGCGAATTCACATCAGAATATCTATACTTAATTATCATTTAGGGAAACGATTAGGCAAGTGTCAGTGACATTCTGTCTTTTGTGCATGTAAATATAGTTTTCTCCTATTATAACTAATGTTATTATTCTGAGGCTTATGAGGTAGGAACAAATCATGATTCCAGAGAGACTCCCCTGAGGAAACCGCGTTACGGAGAGGAAGTCCCAAACTGTTACAGAAAATATGCATTTAACCTCCACCTGCACCTGCTCCTGGGGTGGAAAGAGTATTGTGGGTCTTGAGTGTAAACTGCTGACCTGAGCGCCCCCTGGTGACCTGAGTGTGCCCTGGTAAACTCAGAACCTCTTGGTGACTTGAGCATCTCCACATCCAAGCACCTCCTGTGTCCTTGCAGAGAAGTTTGTGTCCGGGCTCACACTGATAGCCCCTCACTGTGTCTCCAGCACAGTAATACACCGCCGTGTCCTCAGCTCTCAGGCTGTTCGTCTGCAGATACAATGTGTGCTTGGTGTTGTCTCTGGAGACTGTGAATCGGCCCTTCACAGAGTCTGCATAGATTGTGCTGCTTTCATCAGTATTAATATGTGAGATCCACTGGAGCCCCTTTCCTGGATCCTGACGGACCCAGATCATGTCATAGCTACTGAAAGTGAATCCAGAGGCGGCACAGGAGAGTCTCAGGGAACCTCCAGGCTTCACCAGGCCTCCCCCAGACTCCACCAGCTGCACCTCACACTGGACACCTGTAGACACAAGACATCCTGGTCAGGAAACTGCCACACATCTAGTGTTTCTCAATCATATCCACTCACATACTCAGTGTTTCATTCACCATGAATTACCTTTTAAAACAGCAACAAGGAAAACCCAGCCAAGCACAAACTCCATGGTGAGATATCTGTGTTCTGTCCTGATCACAGAATGGGACCACCTGGGACTCGCGGGGCTGGGGCTCCTCTCTCAGCTGTAGGGTTGGGCTTGGGCTGGTTTAATCAGCACAGGGATGGCCCTATTTGCATATCCTCTGACTATATAGTTAATACTTGACATAGAATCCTTAGAAGGACAGTGAAGCAGAGCAGGTTGAGGGACCAAAGATAGTTCGGTGCCATGATATCTTTCAGAAAATTGTGATTTCTTATTTTGTGATTTTGCTGCAGTAAATATTTAACACTCAATACATTCCTTATTTTCTCATAAGCACCCAAACTTGTGATAAAGGTACCAATTTACCATATTGTACAGGTGAACAGATATATATTGCAGCATAGAGGGATTGGGCGAGTGTCCAAGAGCACATATGAGGTGAGGGTGAGCCCGGCACCTGCCATTTACTCCCCATTATAGGACCCACCTGCTCCCCTGAACCATCTCCAGGACAGGGTTGAACATGCCCAGTGAGGTTTGTAGGTTCCTGACCTTCTGGAAGTCCCAGTAAACTGAAGTGTGGAGATGAGGTATTTTCTATCACAGGGAAGTGGATATATGGAGAAGCCTTGACAGAGACACACAGAAGTGATGGAGACACTGGAGTTTTCAAAAACTACAAGGGTCATTTACACATGATCTCTCTGTGGACATCAATGGAAAGCCTCAATATAAATAAAATGGTTAAACTTTGAGTAAAATATTTTAAAGCCAGAAAATTTGAGATCAGAAAGGAAGCTTTTATTTTAAAATGTTTCGTAATCTATTAAATGGAGATCATTGTTCTTCTAAACTCACATTTATTGTGACAATGATCTAAGATATATTTATCCCAGTGCCTGACACTGGCAAGTTTGTTATTCTCATTATGATGGCTCATTCCAAACAGGGAAGAACTTGTGTGTTTCCACAGTTTTTACAAACTCTTTCCTGTGTTCATGTAGAAGTTTGCAAAACATGGGGCTGAAAACCTCTGAGAGGAGACCAGCCCTCAACCAACTTCTTGCCCTGGATCATGAGCTCCTTGGTTCCTGAGTTGTCCCTGGTGGCTGTGAGTGCCCCCTAGTGGTCCTCGTGCAATTGTTGTTTCATAGACCCCTTGCAGAGATACAGGGACTCCTTTTTTCCCCTTCCCATTTATCCAACATGCAAGGGTGAGACCCTTCCAGCTTGAGCAATGCAGGCCCTCCTTTACAGAGGATACCTCCTCCCACTTATCTCCCATCTCTGACACCTCACTCTGACCTTTGCCTATAAATCTCCAGCTATATTTTCTGTAATCGTAGATGAGCCAGAATCTTGAGTGAAGTCTTCTTTATCAGGCAGAAGAACTTTTTATTTAAAACTGAAGATAGGGGTGCCCGGGTGGCTCATTAAGTTAAGCGCCCAGTTTGATTTATGCTCATGTCATTATCTCACAGTTCGTGAGTTCAAACTTTTTGTCAGGTTCTATGCTGACAAAGTGGAGACTGCAGGGATTTTCTCTGCACCTCCCCTGAGCGCGCTCTTTCTCTCTCAAAATAAGTAAACTTAAAAAAAGAGCTGAGAGAACAAAATAAAAGATATTTGGACTCACAGAATTGTACTTTAAGGAAACTGTGATTAAAATGCTAATCTTCAAATGTGTATCAACTTTAAGAAAAAGGAAAGGTCAATCTCAGACAGAACAACAGTACAGAATTTGGACTCTGAGAAAGAAAACAGTCTGAGGCTTTAAACCTAATGGACGTTGCCCTGATGGATATGAAAATTATTTACTGTTGGTGATGCCTTTCTAAATTACATTTTATCTCTTCTGAAGCGGGAACTTCAGTATATGTTATATATGCTTCCCCTGAAGGTGTACTTATAAGGAGATGTTTTTTCCCCCTAGAGATCAGATTGAGACAATGGAAAGGGTTTCACCCCTGGAGGAAGGTACACACAGTCACCACACCTGATGTATAGTTAGATTTGGGGCTTTAGAAGTGGTGATATTTGGGCTGGAATCAATGTTTAAGAGATTGAAGTTTGGGGATATTTCAGGTTTGGAAATGTGAGTTTCATTTGGGATGAAGGTGAAATTTATAGGGATCAGTATGGACTGTGGTCGTCTGTGTCATTCTTGAGCCTATGCATGATATCTAATGTGGCTAAAAGTACTTTGTCACATTTGATTTATTTAGAGATACTTATATTACCACCTTAGCTGGAGCTCAGGAAAGACAGGGGCAGTCACCACCTATCCATCTTGGGCTTGATGATGGGGTCCCTGAAGACACTACATCTGTAGGAGAGGACAACCTGAGAATTGAGGGACAAAACCCCTCATCACCAGGCACAGCCACTTTCCTGCATGAAAATCGTGTCTCCTTCTGATTCTTAGTGTCTAACTGAACCCAGATGGACACATGTAGATGCTCCCAAACTCCATGAGGTGGAGAGAGACTTTCCAGGTAACAGTAAGTAAATAAACATAAAGGAGTGTTTGCCATTGAGAAAGCACTCCTGGACCTGGCATTCACCTGTTATCTGTAGCCTTGATTGGATGATGTGGGACACCAGCCAGTGGAGGTTGGAGGCAGCCCTACAAACTGGGCTCTGGGATTAAGACCCAGAATCCACAGCTCCCCTCAAAGCTGACTGTATTGAGGCCCAAGGGGTAAGTCATAGGAGGTCCCTCACCTGAGGGGTAAGAAGTTCTTGCCATCTCAGTATGCCCTCAAACCTCTGAGGTCTCACCCTCCAGATGTTATACAGTCATAGGCTCTATTGTATGGGAAATGTACCACCTCTCAGTAAGGTGAGGGTTGACTGCTTGGGCTGGGAGTCTTCCTTGTGACCTTATATCTGTTATAAACCTCTGCTGTCTTCTGAGAATGAAAACAAAGGTCCTCTTTCCATGCAATTAAAACATAATAGTGTGCCCACATGTTCCCAATTATTTTGGATGAAATTGTCCTCAGTCTGAGAATTCCCTTCAGACGTAGGTACTGGAGTGCATGGATGGTGTCAGGTGGTGTAGATCAGTGGAACAGCACATGGTAAACATACATCCTCAAGCCTGGGGTTGTTCCTCAGTGAGGAGTGGGAAGTACAAGAAAAAGCCAGCTGACACTTGGGCATACTTCCTGAGTACCCAGAAGCATCATGTGTCATTTAGCCTGGTCCAGGAGCACATGATGACTTCATACAGGCTGGATGTGGATGCCAGGTGCCTGGACGGACTGTGCATGAGGTGTGGGTACAGAGGAAGTGGGAAGGACAGTTGGGGTTTGAATTCCAATCCATATGACACCACCATGGGGAGTATGTTAGCTAATTAGTGTCCACTCCCAGATAGGGATAAATTTGGTAAATGCAAGAAGTTAGACTCACTACCTTAGATTCCAATCAATGTGGCAAAATTTCTCCCTTTTTTTTTTTTTTGCATTTTTAAAGTCTGAAGATTTTATTTATTTACATCTTTGTTAGTTAACATATAGTGTAGTATTACTTTCAGAAACACGATTTAGTGATTTATTATATCAACACACAGTGCTCGTCACAACAATTGATGTACATAAGGCCCATCACCTGTTTAGCCATCTGAATCGGAATTTTTGTATCATTTGGTTAAATACCTAGTAGAGCAACTGCTAGGGTATAAGGTAGTTCTATTTTAACATTTTAAACTGTTTTCCAGGGTGTCTCCACTACTTTGCATTCTGACCAAGAGTTTAAGAGGGTTCCTATTTCTCTGCATCCTTGCCATCATATCTGTTGTTCCTGAGTTGTCAATTTTGGGCATTCTGACAGATGTTTGATGATATCTCATTGTAGTTTTGATAATTTGTTTTTCCACAATGATTAGTGATGTTGATCGTCTTTTCATATGTCTGTTCACTATCTGGATTTTTTTTGGGGGGGAAATGTCTATTCATGTCTTCTGCCAATTTCTTCCCTGGATTATTTGTTTTTGGGTGTTGAGTTTGTTAAGGTCGTATAGTTTTTGCATACTAACCCTTTATCTCATGTCATTTGAAAATATCTTCTCCCATTCTGCCAGTTGCCATTTAGTTTGGTTAATTGTTTCCTTTGCTCTGCAGAAGTTTTTTATCTTGAAGTTCCCATAGTTCATGTTTGCTTTTGTTTTCCTTGCCTTGGGAGACATGTCTAGTAAGAAGTTGCTCCAGCCAAGATCAAAGAGGTTGCTGCCTGTTTTCTCTTGTAGGATTTTGATGGTTTCCTGTCTTCCATTTAGGTCTTTCATCCATATTGAATATATTTTTGTGTATGCTGTAAAAAAAAGTGGTATAGTTTCAATCTTCTGCATATCACTGTCCAGTTGTCCCAGCATCATATGCTGAAGAGACTCTTTTTTTCCATTCAATACTCTTTCCTGCTTTGTCGAAGATTGGCTGACCCTACATTTGAGAGTCTATTTCTGGGTTCTCTATTCTGTTCTATTGATCTATATGTCTGTATATTTTTGTACTACTACCATACTGTCTTGATGATCACAGCTCTGTAATACACCTTGAAATCTGGAGTAGTGAATCCTCCTGCTTTGGTTTTCTTTTCTTTTTCAATATTGCTTTGTATATTCATAGTATTTCTGGTTCTTTACAAATTTCAGAATTGTTTGTTTTAGCTCGGCAAACAATGCTTGTGTTGTTTTGATAAGGATTGCATTGAATGTGTATATTGCTTTGGGTGATATAGACATTTTAATAATATTTGTTTTTCCAGTCCATAAGCATGGAATATTTTTTCCATTTTGTTGCACCTTGTTCAACTTCCTTCATAAACTTTCTGTAATTTTTAGAGTATAGATCTTTTTTTAAACGTTTTGTTTTAATTTATTTCTGAGAGACAGAGTGAGAGAGAGAATGAGCAGGGGAGGGTCAGAGAGAGGGAGATACAGAATCTGAAACAGGCTCCAGGCTCTGAACTGGCTGTCAGCACAGAGCCCGATGTGGGGCTCGAACCCACAAACCATGAGATCATGACCCAAGCCGAAGTCGGATGCTTTT